GCAGAAGTTTTGGAAAAGAAACTTGCTAAAGCTGTGTTGTACCCTTTCTCTCCCTCCAAGCCCTGTGGAATTTTCAACTCATTTCTGTCTTGTCTCTTCAAACATTTATAAATCAAGTTTTAAACCTAAGACACAGGAACCCTATAAAGTATGCTCATTTTTGTGTTTTTCTGTTGCTTTTTTACTCTCATTCCACATATCTGTCTTGATATCAGTAACCAAAGTGCATTGCATTGCTAACACTAAGGAGTATTGGCCCTGGTCCGTCAGCTAGAAGGTGACAGCCTAACAATTCGTCATTGCCCGTTCCAGGCTAAAGACTACCTGTGAGAGAGCAAATCGATTCATATAACTGATTTATGTTGCCTTGACCTAGAACAGGGTTGGCTGACCAGAAAGATAAATGCAGCATGGCTTATGTGTGTGTATGCATGTGCTCAGAGAACAGTTTATATACAGCCACACAGATATTTAAACATTTTTTTCTAGTGTATCAGTACACTCACAAACCAGTGTCCTTTACCTTTTGGGAAATGCCAAGACTGCCACCAGGCTCAAACTAATCCTGTCTCTCCAGTTCCTGCACCTCTTGGGATGCATGTTTTCACCCTACTCACAGCACTAAGTCACAAGATATAATTTCCAGTCTGTAATGCAAACTTCACATCCACTTCCTGGAACATCCACACCAGCCCAGGAACTTAACACTGCAGGCACAGAGAACTTCCTTCCTCCCATTTGTTTTTCTTTTGATGCACAGACTCCAGTCTGTGACCCAATCCCACCATTCGGAGGGGGGGGGCGGCGTGCTGGTAGAACATGGAATGATTTTTATATTGACCATTCTCAGTGAAGTGCAGGGTTGAGGGAGCCCTACAATGGCCATCTACTTCAACCTCCTGCTCTGCAGCAGGAGAAAGCATACCTTGGATCTGTACGCACCATAGCTTGTCACAAGATCCTTCTGACTCCTATCATGAGAATCCCACTGGCCCAAAAGTAGTGTGTGTCAGAAACACAAGGTATGTTCAAGCTGACTGCAGTGCTAAGAATGGGAACGGAGGGCCAGATCCTAGTCCATCCATTAGGTGCCTGGGTGTAACCTTATTCCACTTTGAGTCTGAAAATTCATCAATGCACCCATTTTTGTAATGTGCTGTGATCTTAGCTTTAAAACTAAGTATAAAAAAGCAGAGGAAGAGGGTAACTGACACACCTTCTGTAGTAACAATTTTTAGGGGGCTGAGCAGGGTGGAAAAGGCACTTAATAGGCAGAGAAGGATTTGGTCCAAAATACAACCATTTTTCCCCAAAAACAGCCTCAACAAAGAAACTATAAATGGGGGACAAGCCGAGGAGAAAAACACAAAAATGCAAGAATGCTTATGACATTACTTTACAGTTGTGTTTGGGTCAGTTATCAAAAGGAATTTGGGTTGATTCTACCTGGAAGAGTGGGGAAGGGGGAGGGAGGGGAAAGACCAATGTCCAGCAGATCAGTTGTTTATCCCTCCACCTTCTAATCCAACCATTCTTACTGTTTGGAAACACTGCTGTACAGCCAAAATGTCATTGTACTTATAAGCAAGCGGCCAGAAAAGAGATTTTCTGGACTATGGCAGCAGTGTATGTGGCATTTCAATCTAATGGAAACAAAGCTGACAGCATTTTTTAAAAGCGTGTAACAAATCACAATGCCAAGCGAAGTAAATCAAGCCACATAATACTTCAGAAAAATAACCAAAAGCACTGTTAGAGCCCTGCGGTATCTTAGAGAGGCTGCCTTGTGTTTTCCCAATCCAAAATGATTAGTGAAATTCTAACTAGTTCCAATTACAAGCATGGACTAAAGGAGACAGCAGGGACCTCCCAATTACTATATGTAGTGCTTGACTGACACATGACTCTGTAGATGAATGTTTCTGCCTGTTCAATCCCTTTCCTCTTGAGTGCCTCAGTTAAAATTCCTTCCACTGAATAATTTTTGGCCAGATCTAGGCTGTGCTGGCTTTGTTCCCCCATGAAAGAAAACCTGCCATCAGAAAGCAAAGCCATCTGCCAAGTTAGAGACAGCTTTGATGGGCAAGTTTGGTGGCAGACGGAACTCACTGTTGATCAAGCTCCACCTTCGGCACTAAGAGGATTTTTGTTTTTGTTCAGAAGGACTTGGTTCCAGGAAAAAGACAGCTTAGTGCTGGAAGCCTGTGGGTTAGTGTACACAGATATTTAGGTATAAAGTGTGTACACAAGTAAACCCCTGAAAAATTCCCATCTTCTCCCTCCCTTGCCAGTTTTTGGCTCCTTACACAACAAGCAGTTCATTTACATATAATTTAATATTTACATTTCTCTTTACCTTAGATGATTACCTGTCAAAAAACATGTTTACTTTTTTAATAGTACATCTGCACCTACAGTTTATTTCTACCAGTGTGACAGTTACATCAATAAGTCATGACAACAGGGGTTTTAAAACTGCAGACGGAGGAGAAAGCATGCAACGAAGTGAGAGTGCTTCCTACCAAAGAGAACAAACCACCTGCTGCCTAAAAGTTGAGCTTCTAACCAAAACAAGTTTCCAAATGTCCTCTAGCTTCTCCACAGCTGGTTTGTTCAGATCAGTTTTTCTGAAGTCCAAACTCAAGCAAATGAAGGATCTGCATTGCATATACAGGATTCTCATCTAATAATGACAGCAACCTCCATTAACTCATTTTTACTTTTGTAAGTCTCTTACAAAGATGTAGGTAAAGATCTTTCCACTCAGGTTAACTAAATTAGTACCTCTGTTGCAGTGTTTTCTTCTTCAACTGCCTTTTGCAAGTGTGGCTGCTTCTCTCTGAGCCACTAGCAGATTTAACTGCACATTTTTTTTATTCAGCACAGAGAGCCATAACAATAAAAACGATATGCATCCAATAAAGCACCATCTGCTATTTACAGTCTCCAGGAATTTAGATATCTTAACACCTTTCTGGCCATTCCAACAGACATTTAATTGGAACTTCACAACAGGACTCCAGCAATATATCACATACATAGGATAGGACTAAAGGATCTGATGCCCCACGTATCTTGTTACTGTAAGGATTAAGAGGTTTTTTTCAGCATCATTTTTGAGGTTATGGAACATCCAGGCCTAATGTTTCAGTTCCTTCCTCCATCATTAGTTCATTGGGCAAAGGCCAGTCTGTGGAAGCACAGAACCTTTAACTTGTTGAATTTCTGCTCTGAAAACTCAGTATTTTAAAGAAGTATCTATATACCCAAGGACAGGGTATTATATAATTGCACAGCCACAAGAATTGGCATTGGAATTTCTCTGTTGATGAAGAACTATACTTTACAATAGAGGAAATTTTAAATACAAGTCTTTCTCATGACTGCATAGAAAACCTTGAGACTATTAACCAAGTGTAAAGCAATTCAGTTAGGCCTGCTGCAGAATGCAGACACATTGAAACAGCTCTGAAAGTTAAATGTTCATTTTAATGGACGAAGTCTAAAAATTAGATTGACATGTTATTACCATGGACTGACTCACTGCTGACTGGATATTTCTCTCTCAGCCCCAAACTGCTTCCCACACCTATCTGCACGTCAGAAGTCCCAATACTCCCACATCAACTTGCCAATATCTCTAGCCCCATCCTTTCAAACTTCCGGAAGTCAGCTATGCATTATCGGTATAGAAATTGGTGTGATAAAAACAACTGAAGACGTGGCACTGTGCAAATTTGTTTCCATGTTATTTTACGGTCACATTTCAGCACTGATTGTATTATGTCTTTTCACATTTAATCCATTAAGCCTCCTTTTCAGTAAATCAAGCTGCTGAATACTTCTAGTCTGCCATATCAGAGGACTGAAGAATGCATGAAACCTGCTGTAGAATTCAGGTCTAGCTGGCTACAGATGAGGCCTTGTCTATACTTTGACAGGTCATGCAGTCAATTACTAACAGATTTTTCTTACTTTGCCAATACATGCAGGATATAGGGCTGGGGAAGGAAAAGTGTGGTTGACATTTTCTAGACATTCTAGTTATACTTCAGGTAGGAGTACAGTAGTACTGAGCCCCAAGGCAGTTCGCATGACTAGTGTTTCAATCTGCTTACAGACTCAGCAAGACAGGTCTGTACTGGCTCACATTTGAAAGATTAACTTTGCCACTGTCAGACCCAAAACCTTAATTTGAAAAGCTTAAATAATGCAGAAACTGGTTGATCAGCCCAATGGTTGCAAGCAAGTTTTTCCTTGTTCATTTAAAGGCTTCTTGTCACCAAACTGTGTTCCCCTTGGGCAAGGGGGTAAATGCATTTGTTGTGATCTGATACATGGAACCTCTTTTAATAGGTTCTACCCTTATGGAAGTACAGGAGGATTCACTCCTATACCCTGAAGTTCCTATTAACTGCCAGAAAAACTACCTAAACTAATAGTTGAAAGAAAAAAGGGGGAAAAAAACCCCAAAAACCTCTCTTAAGCATTTGTTAAGACCTACCTTTCATCATCTTTTCAACTCCCCAAACCCAGGATCCAGACTGACTTTAGGTGCTCTTTTTTTGGTATGCTTTTAAAAAAAAAAAGCAATTTGAGACATATCCCAATACATTAAAAACTTCCTGATGAGACGTATTATACTGCATACAATTCTGAAACAGTTTCATGTTTGCCCACTGTAGAGTATCCATATTTGAAATGCTGGCTAACTTACAGAGGAAGGTTTTTTTTAGTCCAGGCAAAAAAAAAAGCAGAACAATTTTACAATTGAAAGTGGTTATAGAACTTCACTCAGGAACAGTCTGAAAAAAAGCTCTTGGGATTGAACCAAAATGCAGCTAATGAGTTCTGCTCTCACTAACAGTAAACATTCACATGTTCAAGAATTTCCAATACACCTGGGGAATGCATCAATAGACAAGATGGCTTTTATAGGACTTTAAAAAAAGGAACTTTGGCCTCAAAATCATCTAAAAGGTAAAAAATAGCCCACATACCTTTAAAGCACATTTCTGCCCTGTCACCTTGTTAAAACACTCCATTACTTTGCCATTAATGCCCAAGCCTAGCACCCGTTTGGAGAGTTTGTAGTCATCTGTAACTGCGTGTTTTTTTATTTCTAGCCTGACGTGGGCAGCTCCCCCAGGGATGGGCTTCACATTGCTTTTGCTGTCCACATGACCTTCTGGCTGGGGCTCCTGCTTGCCCTCACTTTGTTCCATGTCAGGGAGAACGTGGAGGTAATGGAAGTAGTCACCAGATCCCCAGTTTATCTTCAATAAGGTCCTCTCTGTTCAGCAGATCAAGGCAAGTGCAAAGAGTCCATTTGTTGGAAATTCACTCAAAACTGCCCTGAATAAAAATGTAAATGAATCTTAGAAACATACATGGGGCAATTAAATTCTACTGTCACAGGCATCCCCCTCCCCACCTTCTCATATTTCATGTGTGGCAAGACCGGCTTCCGAAAGACAAAAAAGTGGGTCCTACCTACTAAAGCATGTGAACAATCTGCATTGAATCTGTACGCAAGTGATAGTCTGTTGTTATTACCCAGTGTCTGTGCTCCAGTACTGCCTGGAAGACCATGTGTGGGCCACGACCCCTAGGTGTTGAGAACTATACAAACACAGAAAATAATAGTCCTTGCTTCAAAGTGCTTGCAGTCACTATTATCGAACATTGCTCTGAATATCAGGCTTGCAGTGACTCCAAAGCCTGACGTTGCTCAATGAAGTCTAGGCCTTAACAAGACCTGGACTGAAAGAAGTACCTGGTGCACAGACTCAGCACTGGGGCCAGGGACAGGAGGAGGACCTAACCCCAGGGAAGAGGTTACCTAGCCTGCCTTATGCATGGGCTGGAGGAAGA